TAAGATAGCCTACGAGCAGACCTGCAAAGCCTGCCTTGGAACAAAACAGAGGAAGAGGAAGGAGTGGATCACAGAGGATAGCTGGCAAGCCATTGAGAACAGAAGAACTCTCAAGAAGAAAGTCTTGGAGGCCAAATCAGAGCGACTGAAAGAGAGATACAAGCAACAATATAGGGAAGCGAACCGAACAGTGAAGAGGATGACAAGAACAGACAAGCGGAGCCACATAAATGACCTTGCAAGCCAGGCAGAAGATGCAGCAAGCAGGGGAGAGCAAGACAGAGTCTACAAGATTACCAAGCTGGTGTGTGGCAGGTACAGAGGAGGCACTGACGCTCCGATCATGGACAAGCAGGGGTGACTACTCACGACAGAAGCCGAGCAAGACGCACGATGGACGGAACACTTCAGTGAAGTCCTGAACAGACCACCACCACCAACAGAGGTAGATATACAAGAGGCAGAGACAGACTTGGATGTCAACACCGATCCCCCAGGAAAAGAAGAGATCATAGCACCCATCAAGTCCTTCAAGAACGGAATATCCCCTAGACAAGACAATCTCAGTGCAGAAGTATTTAAAGCAGACCCACAGCTAGCAGGAGATCTACTTCAGTCGCTCTTTGCAGGCATCTGGGAGGGGAAGAAGTTACCTGAAGATTAGACAGAGGGAATCATTTTGAAGATTCCGAAGAAAGGTGCCCTCAACAACTGGTGAGGAATCACCTTATTATCTGTACCCAGCAAGATCCTGGTCAAGATCATCATCCGGTGAATAGTCGAAAAAGTGGACAACCAACTGAGAAGAAAGCAGGCAGGGTTTTGGAAAGGAAAGGGATGCACAGACCAGATTTTCACCCTGCGTAACATCATAGAGTAGTGCACAGAGTGGCAGAGACAACTCTACATCAACTTTGTAGACTTTGAGAAGGCTTTTGACAGTGTGCACCGGGAAAGTCTGTGGCGCATCCTTCGGGCTTATGGGATACCACAGCAGATTATCTATATCATCAAAAGCTTCTACAACAACTTCACATGTAGAGTAGGCAACAGCAAAACCAGCTTTGAAGTGAAGACTGGTGTCAGACAAGGCTGTACAATGTCAGCGATGCTCTTCAACATGACCATTGACTGGTTAATGAGGCGCACAACAGAAGATCAGTAACAGGGCATCAGATAGACACTCTTCCCAATGCTGGAGGATCTAGATTTTGCAGATGATCTAGCCTTGATCTCCCATACTCACCAACACATGCAGGAAAAGACGACCCGACTCACCACTTACGCACAGCACCTTGGCCTGAAGATCAGCCAAAAGAAGACAGAAGTGATGCTGCTGAACGTGTCCAACCCTAAACCAGTTCAAGTGAACAGAGAAGACCTGCCAACAACTGAAGAGTTCACTTACCTGGGCAATACAGTAAGGCATGATGGAGGAGCAGGGAGTGACGTAAAGAACTGTCTTAGCAAAGCCAGACAAACCTTTAGAATGCTCAACAACGTGTAGAGGTCCTCTCAGTACAGCTCCAAGACCAAGCTGAAGATCTACCAAAGCTGTGTGATGTCCACCCTACTATACGGCTCTGAATGCTAGAGGATGACAGAGAGCGACATCCCCAAGCTGTCAGTCTTCCATACAAAAAACCTCAGGATAATCCTGCAAAGCCTTTGGCCTGACACAATCTCCGACCAACAGCTACTGGCCCGCTGCAATCAAGACAGCATGGAGACCATCATGTGAAGGCGATGGAGATGGATTGGGCACGTCTTGAGCAGAAAGCAGGACAACATCACTCGCACAGCCCTTCACTGCAAACCTGAAGGAAAGTGCAAGAGGGAAAGACCAAGGAACACCTGACGCCGAACTGTGGAGGCAGAGCTCAAGACCATGCAACACACTTGGGGTACCATCCAGAAGCTGGCCCAGAACCGACAGACATGGCGATCCTTCGTAGCCGCCCTACGTGCCACACGGCATAATGGGCATGAGTGAGTGAGTGACTAGCGATTGATATTTTAGCACTAACTATTGAGTTTTATTGTTAGCGATTGATATTTTTGGTACAAATGGCTCTCATTCGGTGGCAATCTCCCATACGATGATAAATACCCCGTGCAAAACTCAGGCATAGATAATTAACTATATATCTATGGCTCACCTGGTGCAAAGATGTGCGGACATGGCTGCGGGTGATTTGCCGGGAGTCGTCTCGGTGGAATTTGGCGCGGCAATTTGGCTGCCATGTAGCTGGGTGGGCTGGAGCTGCAATTCTAGTTTCTTTATCTCACGCTTTTGAGTTTCTTTTTGAAGCTGAAGAGTGGTCAGTGATGGGAATGGACTCGCGGCGGGCTTCAGGCCAGGTAGAGGGGGCTGTGTTTCTATTACGGCTTGTCCTGTGGAAAGTTTTGGAGACGCTGTCGAAGGAGTTTCGCTAGTAGTCCGTCTTTTCTGAGACTACATCAGACTTGGTCGACGTGAATTTCCTGTCTCTGCGATCTTTCCTAGCGATGACTGTCCGTGAGGACTCTCAAAATGCGTTTGAAAACGATGTGTTCTCGTTTATAGAAGGAAGTGTTTCCCACTCACAATCCGAGCTAAGATGACGCTGGCTGTTGCGTGTCGAACGAGAAGTTCAACTCATGGTGAATAGCGCTGTTGGCGACGAAAGGAGTGAGGATTAGACAGAGATAAGGATAAATTAGCCTGAACGCAAGCGATCTCAAACGAGAACCTGGCACAAAAAGCTACCTCTCTAACAACGTGGAGACGCGAACATGATACCCATTGAGCAATCTCTTGTCATTAATTAACCTCAATGCCATTCTTAGCATAGGGAAAGACATCTGCCCAAGTATTAAGTCCAAGTACAAGAGTGGGATTCGCACCAACAAGCTACTATCATGGCAAAAAATGTACTTTCATGAAGAAATGCTTTGTACATCTTTTGCAAGGTTAGAAATATAACGTTCCAGTCCTGGGTGCGGATTCAAACCTCCGACGTTTTGATTTCCTGGTTGAATGCCCCACAACCCTACAAGCTAAACCTGTCCACGAGCTGGGTTCATACTTTTAGTATATAAAGAAAACAACTTTCTCATTACAACCTCAAAATGTTTCTTTACAGCTGTCACAAGAGACATGGACATTTATGCAAGATATTTATGATAGAGGTCCTGTGTTACTTTAGGAGAGAGAAAACGATAATGCAGAAGAAAAACAAGACCTCCGCAATGAGGAGAAACACATTCAACAAGAATGAAACAGTTGATAGGTAATTTTAAGAACATTTCTTGAGTGCAAATTAAGTAAAGCTAGCTTGGCTTTAGGAAACCATTTTATTTTCAAACAAAGCTAAGTTGTTCTTCTGTTGAACCTGGGTGCCTTTTTTATTAACTCTTGGTGCACCTGAATGGTTATTTTCTGTTAAGATTATTTGTAGTTAAGTGATATTCAACATTCATGTGTTCTAACCAGGGTTTCATAGTTAAGAGTTTTCTTCTCTACAAGCCTTATTGATAACTCTAACTCTCGCTGGCTGGTAAAATTTAATCCTAGCAATTTTGAGGTCATTAGAATCACTCATAATAAGGACAAAAGTACCACAATGGTATCAAGTCTTGGGTACTGAGTTAAGAAATGTATCCATTGATAAAGATCTTGGGAGTTATCATGGCAAGTGACCTGACCTTGACCAAACATGTTGAAGAAACAATTAACTAAGCAAACAAGGTACTTGGCTTACCTAAATGCACAATAGGTAGTAAAAATAGGGACATTTTTCAATTTTTGTATAAGTCCCTTGTTCGACCGATCTTGGAATATGCTAGCCTGGTGTGGTCACCACGTCTAGCCAAAGACAACCATGAAATTGAGAAGGTAAAAAGGAGAGCTTTGTGAATCATCCTAGGCCAAAGACGACAGGAGATGGTGCATGACGACAGATGTAAAATACTTACCGGTAAATGGAACTCTTAAGAAGGAAGGAGGGAATTTCTAACCCTGGTGGAGTGCTATAATTATAAGATCGTATTCAGTCTGAATGGTCTAAACTTCAGTGATTATTTCGAACTGTGCGACAGCAACAAGCCGAGATCCATCCATCAATATAGGATACAAACCAAACTCACAAAACTAAATTTATACAAATATTTCTTCTTTGTCAAGATAATCAAGTTTTGGAACTATCTTCCAAGTAACGTAATAAATTGCCATGATAGTCCAAACATCAACAAGTTCAAACTAAGATTAAAGAATCACATGAATTTTATTGAGTGGACATTCTAAACTGTATTTCTTTGATTTTTACATATTTTTATGAACTTGCTTTTATATAATGAATGTTTTTTGTTGCTATACATATTAGGAGATCCTTTATATAGGGTTAACCCCTGAGTTTCCTTTTTCTCAACAATAGGGCTTGTTCTAAAAGTACTTGTTATTTTGAAATAGAATATTGTAAGATAACAATATCCTGTATTTAAGATTAGTGTACTTAGCCTGTTATTTTGTCTCTATGGTTAACCAGGATATTGAATTCAACCAAAGAAAGTTTTTTGTACCAGTATAAAATTCAGCCCAAATAATCCAGAAATATTCCTATCTGAAAAATTAGTCTAAGACATCCTTGAATGGAATGTAATCCAACAGAGTTCATCGAAGAAAGAAAATCCATTTACAATGCAAAATAAAGTTTAGTAACCACAAAGTGAATATTTGAGTTATCGTTAGCAAGTGAGGAACAATGTGAACTAATAACTTTCATTGTAATTTTCTGACAGAGCAAAATTTTAAAGTTTAGGAGAGATTCTGTGCATCTACTGTCTAAAAATAGATATGATGTGGCAGATTTGTATTTGAAAATGTCATAAAATGAACAAGTTTCTAACAAGAGAGGAAAATTTTATTCAAATAAGAATTACATGTATTTAAACTCATGCACTCTTAATTAAATTATCATTTTGTAATTTGATGTCACCTTTAATACTTCCTTTCACATTTTTCATAAATTTTACAAAAGTCCAGAAATATTTGTCTTTAAATAAGTGCTGGTTAAGATCTTTTATTGATATGAAGATAGGTCCTTCATGTTCATTGAAGAACCTTCTGAAAAATATAGAGCGATTGGAAAGTGTGGCTTAAAAGGTTTTTTTTCTATGTTCTTATACCCAACATGTTTTATGGAAAATTAGATTAAAGGAAGTTGAATTAGGTTCTGTTTCCTAGCCATCAACCCAGTCACAGAAATTAATTGCTATACAGTACTATGCACTCCCTACTCAGGCTCTCAATAGACAGCCCCCATCCAAAAAAGCTTCTTTAATAAAGCTTCCTGAGCTAAAATGTTTTAAACAGGGTTGGTTCCCATTCTTAGATTTGCGGTTCATCCTGTCATTTCTTACTGTTGATTCACAGAATATGGCAAATTAAAATATGCAATTCTGAAATACAGGTGAAAAGCTAGGCAAGAATGTCTCTTTCACTGCTTTTTAATCATTGCTTTAAGTAGAACTTTCATTTGGATCAGAAACAACTTGGTTCAAGAGAGCCTGATTTGGGATTTGGAGATATTAAGCACAAAATAATCTCAAAATTAAAAAAGTTAAGGCAATCAGCTGCTACAGTAACTCAAGGAAAGCTGACATTTTAAGTATCAGTATTCACCCTTGTTGATCTAAGTGAGAGTAAGATTGACATGACTGATTTCCTTACTTGCTTAAGTTCTAAATTTCTCTTCATTATTACTCTCCAAACTAAACTACAGTAAATATTTGATTTAGCACTCAAGGCACTTATTTACTTTTGGTTCCCCAAGAGAGGGTGCTTATTCAAAACAGGATGTTCATTTCCCTTTTTAGAAATAGCAAAATGTGTAAAAAAAAGCTTTGATGGTTACTTGAAAAGAATCATTACAAATGGAAAATGGAAGTGTTGTCCATGGATCCTTCTTGGCTATAACACCAGCCAAGCAATCATCACAAAATTTTAAGACAAGATCATTTGCTTAAAGGAACTGTGCACTCAGGTGAACATAATGGTTGAGATACTGAGATAAAGGCCACTGTTTTTGAAATGAGGCTCTACATGAGCAATTAAAGGAAAGATGACCCATGGTTGATCTCCATGGGTACATATCCTCTGTGGTGATATTACTGAAACAGAAGAGGGGCACTCATTGGTATAGGGGGCACTTATTGGAATAAGAGTGCCTATTGAATAGGGGCACTTATTAACAAAAACAAAATAGAGGGGGTACTTATTGAGAGGAGATGCTTATTAGAATGAGGGCAGTAAATCAAATTATTACACTAAGGCTTCATTCTCTTGTTCTCTCTCAGATATCTATGCTCTCAATCAGATAATTATCTTCCTTGTATCTAAAAAATACTTCCAACTCCTCCATTTTCATTCTCTGCTTAACTTACCCCACCCCATCCATTTCTAACACTAAGTTTCAAAGGCTAACTCACACTAACTGGAAAGTCACTGCCATAAGTCTATGTCACTAGCTCTTGCTATTTCCTCAAAAACCAGTTTCTATACCTTGTCAACACATTATGTCAGCCTGACTAGTTTCCTATTATGTCCCAATTGCAAAGTTTTCAAAATTCCTCACCCCATCACATAGTCAACTTTGCTTGAAATTTTCTTACAACCAGACTCAGAAAAGACCTTCTGGTCTTCTGGGAAGTATAACAATTCATCTGCTACTCTGTTTAGAATGGAATCTGTGACTGGGTATCCTTTCTTCTCTAAATCGGCTGCAGCACACATTTTAATGTGAGATCTCTCCATCGGCATAAATGGAATAAAGTAATCTATGAGATTTTTTTCAATTAGAGAGGAATGCCAAAATCCACCCTTGTTATTAAATTCACCGAGATTGATAACTTTGTCCATCTCTAGAATTTTAATATCTTCTCGATTCTTTCCGTCTTTCCAGTGTTTTAAAACAGCCTTGTTGATAAGATGACCCCCCGTATTGCTAAGGAATATGAAGATACTTTGACGGTAATCGATCTTGCCTACATCAGGAGGGTAGTGATCTAAGTAGGGTTTAAGCACATCTATGAGGCCTATCGGCATTTTGTCCATTTCATCGAAGATAAACAGCGATCTGGGACACTTTGACACAGAACTTACCACTCGATTGCGCAGCTGTCGCTTGTAATAGTCTACTTCGGACTGATGAGGGAATTCATGGGTAGCTATGATCAGATGAACATAATTACTCTCCAATCCCTTCTTGAAGATATGTTCAGCAATGATTTTGCTCACAAAGTTCTTTCCTGATCCTGTCCAGCCGTTGAAGGAAATCGCCAACGCTTTATTAGGCGACTTGTTGTTCAAATGTCCAACAAGAGCCTTTAAAACGGTCTCGGTGACCAAGTGTTGACCGAAAACGCGCCTCCGAAGAGCTGACTGTAAACCCGTTATGTTGGGTTTAATCCACTTGTTGTGACAGCATTCAGCGAAATGACAATAAATTTTAGGCGCCAAATAGCCACCTACAAGAACAGCACTTCCAAAGATACCTTCAATAAGAACTGCACTAATCATAGGGGCACACAAAATTATCATCAGATGCACAAGTCTCCCCTTCTTCCCCATTTTGCTGCAGGATCTTCGTGCGCATTCGTGTGCTTCTAGATTTTCCAGGCAACTGCCACTGTTTTAGTACAGAAGTTTTTATTGGTAAGTCTAAAAATTAACCAATGATCTTACTTGTTAGATCAAGTACTGTAAACGAGTGGCTACCAAGCGTATTTCCGTTCACATATGCGTTGGTCACGAAAATTGGTCACGCACAAATAATTCTGTGTTTGAGCGCCATCCTACACGAGATGTTTTTGCTTAGACTATGTCTTCCGAAGACTTTGAATGTAAAATTTGCGGAGGGTGTGCGGAATCTCGGCCTGATGGAGAAGTAGAAATTATTGAAACGTCTGCGAAGGAAAATGCAGGTGACGGTGGTAAAGGTTCAAACGAACGTGAGGTATCTGAGAAGGAAACGGAGGAAGGTAATGAAACACAGAAACGTAACACACACTCTGAGGAAAAAATTGGCGGAAACAATCATAAAGGGAATAATAAACATGCTCGTGAATCTGTAAAGATAGAGCCAAATAAGCAGGAATTAACTAACCGTCGCTTAAAAAAGGCATAGGCGATCAGACACTTGCTGACCAATCTCTGAAAAAAGATGAGCAGCAATTAAGTCCTGAGAGAGATCGCATCCGAAACTTATCGGCACCTCGCATCCTGGTACCAAGTTGCAATCAAGTTATTTTACGCTGATGGGAATTTTCCTCGTCGCCGCAGTTGCATGTATTGTTGTAGCTATCTACCTTGGTCCTCCTAAGAGCGACATGAAAAATGACTTTGACATGGAGATAGTTTTTGAAAATGGGCTTGAAAAGTTACAATTGTCATTCACAAATCAGACCGACTGGTTGTGGAAGATTTTAAGTCGCGGATTGGCTCATCTACGGAATAGGGATCCTTCCTAACTACTGGTGTTCTTACTGGCTGCACCTCCAACAGCACATGACTACGTGGATTGCCTGGCCATTAAACTAGCAGAAATGCTGGATCCAAGTCATAAAAGAAATCTGGTCAGAATTGATGGTGAAAAAGAGAAAGCAAATCCTCTAAAAGAGCCCAAACTAATGATGGACAATTTCCTGAAAAAAAAATTGAGGCTCTTCACAGGGTAGTGCTCATCCATCACCTTGAGCTTCTCCTGCCACCCTCACCACTTCTGTTTCACTCTTATTGTGATGATCAAAATGCACCATATAAGCACCTTGCCATTATTTTTACTGTACATATGCCAGTAGAGCCCAGCCCATCTCTGTCTCCTAGAGAAGCAGAGGGAAGTGTAGAGAAATGTCTTTCAGGTGATATTTGAGAAAATAAGGATTGGGCTGATGAGGATGCAGTTGCTGCTCTCCTGGTCCACATTGCTGACACTGTGGTGCTTGTGAATGGTGAAACTAGTGGTTCAGCGAGGGACTTTTGTTCTTAATACACTAACTGTTAGCAGTGATTGGCAGGATGAGTTAGTGAATTATTGTTACTCTGTCAGACATATAGGACTTAGCAGAATGTAACAAATTTAGAGTTGAGTCAACCAGGTGATGTTGTCTTGATTGAGCATTAAATTCATAGGAATAGCCAACCAAAATATGTAAGATTTTCAGGCAGGAGAATTAGAATTTAGATCCAGAGTATGAAAGGACTATTATTTGTAAGCTAAGGTCAAGTGTGTAACAATTGAAAGCTTCCTTTTCAACAACTTAATTTGCATTTTTATCCATCAGTCAAAGCTAGACCTTTCATATACCTGTAAATGTTAGGCTGTGTGGCAAACTAAAGATAGTCCAAAAGACTTGTCAAATTTAATAAAGATTGTACCACACCACCAGTAGTTATCCAGCTTTTTCCTGTTTTTGACGTTCTGAAGCTTGTGTACTTATGCACAATTTTTTGGACACTAGGGTCTAATTTTCATCAGAAGTAACATGTGTCTGATTTTGAAAATGGGTTTCTTATTTAGGACACTAGTGTCCCATTTTAGACAGTTGTGTTTGATTTGAGATACTAGTGTCTCTTTATGGACAGTTTTGTTGTATTTTAGAGCCAAGGGTTTGATTTTGGACAGTGGTGTTTGATTTTGGAGACTAATATCAGATTTTAGACTCCAGTGTTTGATTTTTGGACATCAGTGTCGTTAGTGTTACAGTAGTGTACAACTTCAGACACTAGCATCTTATTTTAGACACTTGTGTTTTCAATTTTTGACCCTAGTGTCATGGAGAAAAACATGGACACTATCATTGCAATAGTTTGTGATCAAACTTGATTTTATACCCGATATAATTTTTTTCCTTTTGTGCATGAGCTCCTAGATATATTTTCATGCTTTAAAATCAGTTTCTGTTATTTTTTATAATTAGTGTTTGGTTGAGGAGGCTTTTGGGGATATTGAGTTAAACCTTAATTTAAAGTTTTCTTTGTAAGTAATTGTAACTTGAAGTTTTCCACTGATTCTACAACTAGTCTTTTTAAGATTAGCTGTATAGTCATTGAGCTCTTTCCTATTTTTGACATTCTTTGGCTGGTGTCCTTTTGCAAGTAATGTGAAATGTGTTCTACTTTGATTTCACCAGGTTTTTTCCCTTTATTGTTTGATATTCTTTTTCAAAATTTTTCAAATTCTTATCTCCATCAACAATGGATCCCTTGAAGGAAGGTGAACTAAAATTGATCAATATTTGACTTTAATTTGATTTAATAAAGAAAATATCAAAATATGTTCTCTACAGTTGTTTGATATTGTATTTTGCACTAATCAAATGCCTTTCTTAGCATATGGAAAAACATCTGGTCAAGTATTAATGTCTAGGTACATGTGTGGGATTTGTACCAACAAGCTACTATCATGGTAAAAAAATGTACTTTGACAAAGAAGTATTTTAAACATCTTTTGCAAGGTTGGAAAATATAATGTTCCAGTCCTGGGTGTAGATACAAACCTCAGATGTTTTGATTTTTGGTTGAATGCCCTACAGACTTGCAAGCTAAAGCTGTCCATGAAATGCGTCCATACTTTTAGTAGTTCAATAAAACAACATTCTCATAGCATTCTAAAAATGTTTCTTTATAGACTCTGACTATGGACAGCTGTCACAAGAGACATGGACATTTATGCATCATATTTATGATGGAGGTCCTGTGTTATTTTATGAGGGAGAAAAGGATAATGAAGAAGAAAAACAAGACCTCCAGGATGAGGAGGAAGACATTCAACAAGAATGAAAGAGTTGATAGGTAATTTTAAGAACATTTCTAGAGCACAAAATAAAGTAAAGCTAGCTTGGTTTTAGGCAACCATTTTATTTACCAACAAAGCTAAGTTCTTCCTCTGTTGGATCTGGGTTCCTTTTTCATTAACTCTTGGTGCACCCGAGTGGCAGTTTTCTGTTAAGATTATTCATAGGTAAGTGATATTCAGCATTCATGTTTTCTAACCAGGGTTTCATAATTTATGTCAGGTCCTGTATGTATTGACTGCAAGACATTGAAGACTTCTGAACTGCAAACCCTTTGATGAGAGTTTTATTCTCTGCAAGCCTTTGATAACTATATCCTGTATTTAAGATTAGTGTACTTAGCCTTTTATTTTGTCTTTATGGTTACCCAGAATATTGAATTAAACTAGCAAAAGTTGTTTGTACCAATATAAAATTCAGCCTAAATAATCCAAAAATATTCTCACCTGAAAAATTAATCTAAGACATCCTTGAATGGAATGTAATTGACAGAGTTCATTGAAGTAAGAAAATACATTTACAATACAAAGGAAAGTTCAGTAACCACCCTTTGAACATTTGATTTATCTTTAGCTAATGAGGAACGATGTTAACTACTTACTTTAACTGTAATTTTCTGACAGAGCAAAATTTTAAAGCTAAGGGGTGATTGTGAGCATATACCATCTAAAATTAGATATGATGTGGCAGATTTGTATTTTAAGTGGATTAAACCTGCATAATGGGTTTACATGGATATTGATAACAGGTTATGAATATAAATCTAGACTACAGTGTGAGCATTTGAAGAGGACTGGCTTCTAGTTTATTCAATCTTAAGCAATACTGTATAGTCATATGAATATGACTTAATCATATGCTGATAGTCATAAGACTTTTTAAAACCAATCAGTTGCCTACAGTTGCAACACTGTTAGGGTATTTAGGTAATACTAGCTAATTTTCCTGGACTATTTAATAGGCATTGCTACAGCATTTCAAGCAGCTAATACATAGCATCTATAGGGAATTATTTGCCCACCTACTCACTTCCTGGGAAGTCTAGTGTTTTGGTTTTTCTGTTGCCTTTTTTTTTTGTGGTGTAATCGTAGTGAGTTTACCCAGTTGATTTCTATTGTATTTCATAGGGTTTTAATTGTAAATGTCAACATAGATTATATGTTTGTCAGTAACACTTTGTAATAAAGACTGCCACAACCCCAACCCTGTGTCTGTGTCATGGTTTACAGTCAGCCCTTTGGAGGCGTGTTTTTGGTCAACATTGGTCACTCAGACTGTTTTAAAGGCTCTTGTTGGACATTTGAACGACAATTTGCCTGATAAAGCGTTAGTGATTTCCTTCAACGGCTGGACAGGAAAGAACTTTGTGAGCAAAATCGTTTCAGAACATATCTTCAAGAAGAGATTGGAGAGTGATTATGTTCATCAGATCATAGCTATCTATGAATTTCCTCTTCAGTCCCTAGTAGAATTTTACAAGTGACAGTAGGTATCTGAGAGACATTGAAAACCTACTGTAATTTTATTTACTGCCCTTGTTCTAATAAGCACCTCCTCTCAGATAGGCACCCCTGTCTAATTTGTTTTGTTAATAAGTGTGTCTTTCAGTAAGCTCTCTCATTCCAATTAGTACCCCTATACCAATAAGCGCCCCTCTTCTGTTTCTGTGATAGCACTGCAGAGTACATGTACAATGAGATCAACCATAGGTCATCATTCTTTGACTGCTCATGTAGAGCCTCATTTCAAAACCAGTGGTCTTCATCTCAGTATCTCAACTATTATGTTCTCTTGAGTGCTCAGTTCCTTCA